GGTCTGAGATAACTGATGACATGCTATTTTCAGTCCTTTTTTCCAGACAAAAATTTTGCAGGTGCTAATAATATTCTCGTTCTTATAAATTTATTTACACATCTTTTGAAATTGATGGCAATGTAAAGTCTTTTTTCCATGTAAATTTGGTATGTAATTCCAAAAGCCTCCGTTCAAAGACAGTAGACATAAAGCACTTTACAGCTATTTTTTTAACCGATTATTGCATACCTCGTTTTAGAGCTGTAGAAGTCCTTACGGAACTTTGCGATGCGTTTCAAGACGGTTTAGTATCTGGAGATCTATGTAATAGACTTTGTTACTACCGGGATTGGAAAGTAACGGACTATTACGAAGGGAACAAGGTAACTTGTTTTTTTTAGGAAACAGCAATAATCCAATTATTTAAGGTAGTTTTGGTTCTGAAGGACGGCGGACAAACTGCTGTTTTGAAGAGCACACATCCTTCAATGAGTGACTTTGCTGAACTTGATCGAAAGCTTACATATGATGAGTTCTCGGACAAGGTGAATTGTGCCTACCTTACTATCCAATTTCTAGTTTGAGGAATTTTGCAGGTATTGGCATTGATAAATGACGAACTGCGTCTTGGATGGCCGCGTCATTACAAAAAACACTTGATGGAAGTTCTCTGGCCAACACTGAGAAGGTTATTTGTACTTAAACACTGCACTATTGTTTCTTCTTACCTTCGCTCTTTTTAGAACTCCAGGCGAGCAAATGTCGGTGGTTGATCGAGAGTCCTTATGGACATTACTTCAACAACCAGAGTTTATTCTGTTTCGTGTCCTTCCCTTAACGAGAGTAACCCCAAAGGTATCGTTCCTTCCTGATCATCTACACTTTTGCGATCTTGCATCAAATTCTCTCTCAGATCATTGGAACATGTGGTCAGTTTTACTCAACTGAAGCGCTGGTGGCATTCCGAATGAAGGGCTATTACATGAACCTCAAGGTTCTCTTTTGTGTCCGTTTGCTCCTCTCTTTTAAAAGCATCTTTTAGGGCAAAATTCTTGTGCACATCATGGGTACTCTCAAATTGTTCTACGAATTTATTAACGAACCCTTGCAATGGTGCGATGTCCGCTTCGACAACTTGGGATTATCAGCTGACTATCCGAAAAGGTAGCATAATTTCCCGTGTCTGAAGTTTAGTTAGTAAGCTAGTTAAGGTTTGTATTGATGGATGGCGACATGGTTTACACAGAATCTCGGTTGCGTGCCATACTACAAGGACGGCCATGCACCACTGATGCCGACTGCAGGATAGGTGACTGCAAGGCGAGGTGTACGGCCGCTATGGTCTGTTCGGAAAGGACGGATAGCAATCTCGAAGTGAGCGAACCAGTGGCATTTATGTTTATATAGTAATTTTTGTCAAACAGCTTTTATCACGTTTAAGTTTTTCTTTTTGTCGCTAATAGGCGCAAAATAATGAAGCGCACAAGAATCACTTAGTTTTTTGACCGCATTTTAAAATTACTATGCAATTTGTCTATTTCTTAGGTAAGTCACTCGAAAGAGGAGCCTTTCAAAAACTTTCAAACTGCTCACTTTTTGAGTTCAACTGTTCATCAGTGAGTCTAGGTAACCTGGGCAGTAGCTTCCCTTTTGGAAATGCCAATTTTGTACAGATAGTTTTACTTGTATAATAAAGCGTTATAACTGCAACTTTCTAGAAATGAAGTTGTTTATTTTGAATGAAGAAATTAGGACTTCAAAAGGCTCTTCGGTGCCATGTACTTTTGCCTTCCTCTCAGATTTGATTTTGGTCACCGTTCTTGAGCCTACTTGTGAAAATTTTACTTATTCATGATTTGTAATGCACTCATCTCAGCTTCTACTGCTGGATTTTGTTGGATACAGTCTGTTGGACATAATATTTTCTAAAAAAGTCATGGACATTTTTGGGAAATTTTGTTTTCTTCATGCAAGCTCTGATACTAAGCGTCACTGACCATTACTCACTAGAAAAGAAGGTCTGTAAAATGAGATTTTTTAAAAGGTTGTACAACGCTTGTATTTTTAATGTGTTCTGAAATATCAAACTGGTTGGCAGGAATTATCTAAGTCTCCAAGACATCTACTTCTTAAGACTGGAAACAATTGTTTCTCTCAAAAAGCTGCAGTACGTTTATGCTATGAGCGGCGTCGTATTTTCATGTTATCTGGGTCACAATTCTGCTTTTGCAACTTAACTATGCAGCAAGAATGGCAAAAACTAGAATCATGGTGTATTCTAATTATACCATCATTTGATAACGGCTATCTTATCTCATTTTTGTTTATCTAGAAACAATTTTGATCGATGAGTATTGCATATTTGGTTTGCACTCTTCTCACTTATCATATTCCAGGTTTTTTGTGAGAAGCTGGTGCGGAAGCTATTCGGACATACGTATTCGACCCATAATAAGTACTTAGCAGCATGTCAGGAATCGAATGGAAATGTCACGCAACGGCTCAACGAGCTGCGACTTACATGGTCGTGGAATCTTTCCGATGTGTAACTTCTACAAAATGGCTGATCATTTTGTGCCACACACTTCCTCCGTACCTTTTGCAAATGAGCATCGAAACCTCTTTACTCTCTGTCTGTTTAATTTTGTGTCATTCTTGTCGTTGCCGTCGCGTGGATGTCGTTTATTCAAAGGTTTAGCGAAGCTTTTCCTGATTGTGCGGGTATCTCTAGCTCTTTGCTTCCTTACGAAGCATAGATTTTTTCGTTGATTTTTTATCGTCTTTCTAGTGTTTGATATATGTTTTCAATTTGAGTACGGGTAATGCATATTCGGGATTGGTACGTAATAATCTAGAGTTATTGCAAATCGCCGTAATTTATTAGTCATTATCGATGTCAGACCTCTTGCCTTAACTGAGTGAACCTATCATTGTGCTATATCTACTTGTATTGGCTCATTGTATAAAATCTAAGAAGATAACTTCCAGTTTTTTTTTCTTATACTAGCAAGGGATACTCTGGACGCTAGGACAGCTTTTTTGGAAGCAGTTGATGCTCAGAAACTCTTATTTGATGACCTATTAAACTACGGGAAATGATAAGGCAGTTTGCTTTACAAGTCAGTCCAATGGAACCGGTCCTGTTATCACATTGAAATCAAAGCCTTATCAAACACTATGTCCATGGTGAATTGATCGCTTCATCTGCTTCCGCTAAACTGCAAGCGCTCTGAAGGTCCATCAATACCAGCTCAGCTGAGATTACCGTCTTGCTCGTTTGGTCCGTCTCATGTTACATTCTCTTAGTATATTCAATGATTATAACAGAGTTTAACAGTATGTTTGCTCAAAATAACGTTGAACTCTGTTTTGTTTATACCTATCTATCGATAAAAAATATGCTAGATAGTCTACTTAGAGAAATACCACTTTTGTAAAGTCTATATTTGGTGATTGCAATTCGAATTCAAGGTCCTTAAATGTTTCTTATCTCATGATGCAGTATCTATTCAGATTTTCGTGTTGACAAAAACACACTTATCTGTTAATTAAGCAGAATCTGCTCAATTGTGCTCATTGTACTATTCATCTATGGGAAGGAGAATAATTAGTTTTGTTCTGTTCGAGGCTTTCCGGTCTGTTCGTTCCGCGTCGGATCAACTTGCTGTAGTAACTTTTTTTCAGGTTGATCACAGTAACAAAAATATTCAGACTTTCTTCTTATTTAAATGTAGCGAATTCTCCCGACGTCGTGTAAAATCAACATATCGGAGTACATATAGTACAACGAGTAACCAAAGCACACAACTCGCTTAGTATGCTACATAGTGTGGAATAGAATAGTGAATTTCATAAAGAAAATAATTTTAATATAAAACGAATGCACGAAAAGGGCCGTATTTTCCTAGCAAATAATACTCTTTTTTTCAATATTGAATAATTCATTGTGATACATATGAATAGGAGAAAAGCAAACAGAAGAACACCGTGCATAACTGATTGTTCACAGTTCGCAATGCATGTAGCGTCGCAATGATGCTGGAAATAGTAGCTATTTGGCATAAATTATTGTTGTAGTGATTTTTAGTCTGATTCGCAGAACTTACTGAAATTTATTTACAATTATTCCCATCACGTAATCAAGCCGATCATTTAAATTATAATGGCTATGTATGCTTCGCTTTAAAGTAACCTACTTTTTTTTTAATCATTTGTTAGTTAATCTATAATTTCGACTAATATCGAATCATAGGCTTCATTGTATTTGAAAATCTAATTCAAAATCTGATGCAATCTCTTGTGAGATTGTACCGCAGTAACTGTAAGCCGCACATATGTGCAGTGCTGCGTTTGATGAATTTTTATAAGGGTAGTTCTAAATGGAGTAATAACGTTAGTCTTTACGCAAAAAGTAGGCTGCGCGCGCGTGCAGATGTGAATTACTTAGATTAGTTTACTGGATCAAGAAAATTATCATGGTTCTTTGCACACTATCATTATGTCTACGTTTAGTTGAAGCTATGAGCTAGTTGTCTATTATGAACTTGAATTGCGCATTCTTTTAATCATGCAGAAGAAGAGGTATGAGACAAAGGTTTTGGCCTTGAAGCCCATTTTTTGGATGATGACATACAACAAATCCAGTAACTGAAAAAAAATCGGAGATATTGCGATTAATACATGATTTGTGGATCATTCCAATGCTTTTATCCTACCAAGCTCCTTAGCCACGGGCATCG